CATTTAGCACAGTTTATTATGCTACTTGGATTGATGGTAAACGAGTTTATAGTCAGGATATGAATGGAAAGCTTATAAATACACGTGAGCAATTTTGCAAAGTTTCGCTTAAAAGTTTAACTGGGACACAAATGTTTCATTGAATTTTTTAAATGAGATAAGAAATTACATAGGTTGTCTTTAATACAAGAAAAATGAATGAATAATAATTTATTTTTATCATAAAGTTTAAAGCTCTTTATGAATGTCAACTTGAGAAAGTTAGTGTAGGAAAATATGGGATAGAAATATATGGGATAACTTACAATATAAATAGCGAGGAATACATGATGGTTTTTGAATATGCGGATAAAGGCGATCTTCGACATTATTTGTCAGAAAATTTCACAAGTCTTACTTGGAAACAAAAACTAAAACTACTTTATTCTATATCGGATAACCTGGATTATATTCATCAAAGATATATTCATAAAGATTTTCACAGTAGCAATATACTCATAGTTAGTACTGGAAGTTTTGATTTAAATGCTTTAACATATGAGATTTATAATGTGACTAATAAAGCAATAATGATTACGCAAAATATTGGGGAAAAGTCAAATATTGAGCCAAAGATTTCGGATTTAGGACTTTCTAGTAGAATAGACGAAATTAATGTAGAGAATGGGACATATGGAGTAGTGCAATATGTTGCTGATGAAATATTATCGGGTCAACCGTATGCAAAAGCATCAGATATTTATAGTTTGGGTGTAATTATGTCTGAAGTTCAACAGGAAAACCACCCTTTGAAAATTTATCATGTAGAACGGTGCAACTACGAAAAAGTTTTGGCACATTGAGACCAGAATTTGCAAAAGGAACGCCTGCATGTTATATTGAACTCGCAAACCAATGTATGGATAGTGATCCAACAAAACGACCAACTGCCAAAGAAGTTTATAAGAAATTACGAGGATGGAAAATAATTCTCGATAAAGGAATTGAAGAGTTAGATGATGATGAGCTTAAAATTAAAGATGCTTTTTTAAAAGCAGATGAAATTATTTTTTCACAGTTAGAAATTTCGCAACGGAATCCAGATGCAAATTATAAAATTCAACTTGAAGAAGATAAAACTCCGCAACGAGATCCGGATGCTGTTTACACATCTCAACCCATTTTATTAGATTTATTAGGTAATTGCAAATGTTATTTTTAATGGTTTTTTTTCTCTTAATATAGCATTGTTGAAATAAAATTTATTATTCTAACAGATTTTGAAGAAGTTCCATCATAAAATTATACGTCATCTAAAATTAGTTTACATTATTTATATACTTAAGTATGTAATGTCATTAAGATTAGCATAAACAGTGGCCTTTGGTGCAGTTTCAAACCATATTATTCTTTAACTTAGCTTATTAACCTTATAATTGATTATATTTTCATTATTCATACGCTGCCTAATTCTTTCTTGCATTGTATTTTGTATATTTATAATTTTATTTTATATTTGTTATTTAATTTACATAGAATATCAAAAGATGAAAGCACAGGTACATACATTTTAGTTATGCAATTTGCATTAATGAAAACTAGAATTGTTACTTATATTGCATTTGACCTTCATGTAATTCATTCAAATAATATTATTCATCGTCATTTACATAATGGCAGCATAATTCAAAATAAATCAAATAACACTTATATCGGCGATTTAGGAATTGCAACAATATATTGTTCCAGTAAAAAATCGTTCTAGTAGGGTTTCTCAATGGAATCACTAGAACATTGAGAAAATCTGGAAATTCATTGGGCTTCAGCTTCCACTGATCAAGGAATAATATCTACTGAAATTCAGATATTATTCAATATATACTTATAAGTAAAAATAAACACTTGAATTAAGTCCAATAATGTCCATATACTTAAAGTATAAAATCATACCACAAACATTTCTTATTGAAAAATTACATAAATAAATTCTTTTTAAAAAAACAAGAGTCATCAGGAACATCTAGAGGTTGAATTAAAATAATTTCAGATAATTTTTCTGTAATTTCACGCGTGTTGATGAACTTGCTTC